ATTTTTAAAATATGGTTTTATTAATCTTTCATTTATTTTTTATGAAAGTGTAGTTGGCATGCGGTGTTATATTAGTTTCAGGTGGACGCCGCAGCGAGCTGACTTTTATATGCGCTGTGATAGGACCACCGCGCCTGTCGCCTACGGAGTTACCCTGATAATGTAGACTGCTTTCCCGGTGCTCAACACTACACCCCCATGGCTTATTTATTTTATAACTGGAAGCTTCTACCTCTTATTCCCCTTCACCTTTTCACCCATCCTCCCACTCGCCTCCCCTGGGGCAGCCATCAGTGGGTTTTGCTTGTTTTTCCTCCCTACAGGATAGCTTTTAATGAGCAGCAAAATTGCCAGAAGGCAGATAGAGAGAGAAAACTCAGAGGGCTTGAAATAATTCCCAAACTGAATTATCAATCCTAAATAATTAAGAGTGGACTATAATTACTTTATCCATCATCAGAAAAGCATTAGTGAGAGTTAGAATGTGAGCGCTATTTTGCCTCAACGTTTTCACTCGTTGTACCAGGTACAACGTTGTACCTGGAAGCAGCATCGGTGGAGTATTTGGAAGGCGCTGGAGGAAGGAGGCGTTGCAGCTAAGAGAACAGCAGAGTGCTGGCTGATGGGTCTCCGAGGGACCAGACAAATCATGCAGAGCCTCCAGAAGCAAATGACGTTCTCTCTGCTTCCCACAGAGCAACTTCTTACAGAACTTTCTGTCCCTGACGTTGCCGAAAGGCGGGAACAGACACCTCGGCAACCTGACCGTCCTGTGGCTGAAGCTCCTCCTGAATCTGTCCCTCGGAGAAGACGGGCAGCAGATGCTCCTGAGGCTCGACGGCTGCTTGGACTTCCTGACGGAGCTGAGCAAGTTCAAGCACAAGCGCAGCCCGCACCTGCCTCTCCTCATCTTTCATAACATTTGCTTCAGCCCTGCCCATAAGCCCAAGATCCTGGCTAACGGTGAGTGTTCCCGTCGGCAGCGCGCGCGCGTCCGGTGACCCGTGTGGCTCCTCACGGCGTCCTCCACGCAGATGGAAACATGAGACGTTTGTATAGGTAACGCGCCAAGTTCTTGCTTAGGAGGCGCCCGCTGTGTTCGGGGCGCCTGTGGGGCAGAAGCTGGGGGGCTGTTGTCTCAGAGACGAGCCAGACGCTGCCCCGCACCGCGGCGCTGCCAGGAGCCTCGCAGGGGTGACAGCCGCGTCGCTGGGGCGGGCGGAGGCCGCCCTGCCCGCGCCTGCCGGGTGGCCGCTGGCGCCCCAGCCCTGCGTCCCGCCGCGCCCGTCTCGCTCGCTCGCTGTCCCGCCAGCGCGTGTGTGCGCGTGTCGCGTCTGTGTTCATCCGCGGTCTGCCCACGCCGGCCCCTGAGCGCTAACGAGGCCAGAGGCTCTGTCCCTGCTCGTGTTGATCTGTGGCGCCTAGAATTGTGTCCCACTCGGGAGCGCGGCGGATGGTAGATGAGTGGGTCCTGACGAGGCGGCGCGTTCAGCGCCCAGAGCCGCGCGCGGAGATCGGCCCCGCGGGGACGCCTCCCGGAGACCCAGGCCCCGAGGCNGGGGTGGGGTGGGGGGATGGGGGGAGGACTTCGGGGATAACACTGGGAATGACTTCCGGGCGCATGGACACCGTGGGGAACTTGGGAAGGGCTCTCCACCCTCTTCTGCCATTGAGGCTTCACAAAGCCGGGCTGGCCACAGGAGTGCCCATGGGTGTGCAGATTGCCCATCGATTCCTGTTCATTTACAATTGCTGCATTTATTGCAAATAGTTATATGTTTATCTATAATATTGTCCTTGTGGTAACTGATCTTTGTAATAAAGACTGAGTTACTTAAGAATTTATTGATTTAATATAACATTTTGACTGAACTTTGCTATATTCAAATTATTTAAAAACAGTGATCTGCCTCTGATGGATCTATTTCTATCTGTCCACACAGAGCAGCTATACGCACACACACATACACACAGAGGGAGAGAGAGGGTGGAAGGGAGGGCTCAGAGTTGATCGGCATCTTTAATTAACCAGAAAACCCCATTTCTTCACCGTATCAGCGCATGCACTGGTTATCTAGATTGTGCGATGGCCCTGTCTTGCTAGATTTACATGTTCAGAAGCTGGTTTTCTACATTCTTACTGAAGTCGTATGTCCTGGCCCCCCCAGCGTGGAGGAACTTTCTGACACTGGTCAGGCTCATCGGGTGGTCCTGGGGCCGGGTGGGCGCGCCGTCTGTCCGAAGTCATTGATGCCAGCTCGCACCAACCAGAGCAAAGACAAGCCCAGATTTCTCTCCATAATTATGCTGGTGACGATCGTTTTGGGTGTGGTTTTGATTTTCCATTTCCGTAGAGCCAGACTAAGGCTGTCCTTTCCTCCCTGCGCAGGAAGCGGCCCTGGAAGCTCACCTGGTGCCCGTCCTGCACTCCCTCTGGCCCTGGCTTCTGATGGACGATTCACTGATGCACATCGCCCTGCAGCTGCTTTGTGTCTACACCGCAAACTTTCCCAATGGTAAATAGAACCCAGTGCTGCCTTTCAGCCGTATAAGATACTGAAATGCTTGTTTTATGTATGTTGTTAAAGTGGATTGCAGAAATGAATGCGTAGTTTGAAGTGTTTCTCCTGCTGATTGAGGGATGTTGGTTAAAGGCGCACATTCTTGTGGTGGGTACGTTAGTAAGTTTCTTGAGATCGGAAGGGTTCTTACACAGCTCAGGAAACAGAGAGGGAGAAACTGGCCTGACTGTGTCAGTGGGAAACTGAATTTAGTAGGAAAATGGAGAGAAAATTTTGATAGTAAGGCCTTAAAAACCAGGTAAAGGTTAAAACTCATGGATTCTAGAACAGGAGACTGGTGTGATGCGAGGTGCGTCTGGATACAGCCGGTTTAGTGACAGTTGGTATTATTGGGCACCTCTTTCCTTCACCATCTGGGTGACATTCTCTTGAAGGCCTGCTATGGGCCTTACATGCTTCGAGGCTAACAGCTGAGAGTGAGCACGGAGAAGCGTAGAGGTGATTTGAGAAGAGAGGAGAAGCTGTGACG